ATTTGGTAAAAGAAAAACCTTTTGAAACAAGATGAGACTTTAGCTCTCATTGCTAGTCTCACTGTCATTTAAACTAATCTTGCGCGACTGTTAACACCACGACAAGACGATCGTTTGCACCAAGACAAAACGACCAACGGTGTGTCGTACGTATGAACCAGCGGAAAAAATTTAGTCCTAATAGTTAGAACTTCAAAATCTGGTCGCGAACGTGTTAAAAAAAAGCCCCTGCATTGCAATTGAAACAATGGTTGCTTCTTTAAATACTTCTCACGTGTGTAAGTAGCGCCCTGCTTGGTCTAAACGCGAACTTGGCCCATCGCAAAGCGGCGGCTTTCACAATCCGCTTAGTTAACCCATTGACAACTATGGAACGCCGGTTGCCCACACCTCTTGCAGAGGCATATCCTTTTCAGATCTAGCATTTTTTCCTATTTTTTGTATTCGGGGTTTTAGGCGGTCTTATAGACTCCGCCGTCGTCCAAGAATATGGTCAGATGTTTACAAAGTATTTCCGTATCTTTTGAACAACCACAATATAAACAATCACGAAATTGTTCTGCAATATCGCGTCGTGCCAAAGCGCCGCCACGCAAAATTAGGCGTCATCTCAATGGGTTAAAGTGTCCCAAGACAAAAACTCCTAAGCGGAGCCCAGCGCCCGGTACCAGTTGGCTTCAAGCAACTTGAGAATGAAGCATAATTTCACCAATTTATTCTTCGAAAAATGAGATGAGGGCAGGGAGGGTACTATAACTAAATACAACAAGAAAATAACAGCTCGTCTCAGAACAGCTTCCAATGAAAAAATAAGCTTCAAAGTGCTTATTCTTGCAAGGAAAATAAAGAGACTTTCCCGAAATGGCTGCTAAATTGCAAGGATGATATACTGCTGGGAATTAAAGAAATTACGTGATGGAATTCATTCTTCACTCATTTTGTATTGTAATGTTAGGTTGAAGCTAGCCCTACATTTTGTTACCATTCCGCGAAACTGATAATACAGGAAAATCATTAGCAATCAAACCTTCGGTTTTTTCAAACACCCTGTAGCATAAAACTAGTACCATGACATCTCGTTAAATCTGCGCTAATGTCAAGGACTTGAAAATCAAGAAAACTGTTCAAACGACCCCATTAGGCATTATGAATGGCCATCTGAGAAGGCGCAAAATGGTGTAAAATTGGCTCATTTGTGTCAAGCCCCGTAACCTCAATCTTGTTCAATAAAGTGAGGTTAAAGCAGCAAGGGCAGTCAGGGTTGTTTCAGACTGTCGCACTGACCGCGGCAGACTGCAGCTGAGCAGCTGACCGCACTGACCGCACCGGCCGCTGCCTCCTTTCGTAAAAAAAAAACAACCGCGATTATCAAAACGTTATTTACGCCTAAGAAGATCATAAGTTCCATCACAATTCTTCTCAATCAAATTTTGGCAATAGTTTTTCTTTGGTATGTTCGTATTTGTTCTAATTCCTCCTACCATTGCATATACGTGTTTTGTAACATTCTAGCCCGTGTTGTCTTTTGCTTTTAGGTATATATTGTTGTTGTTTGTTTGAGCCACAACTATTTATCCTCTCCACCTTTAAGCTTCAGCCGCTGCGGCCATTGCATCAGTGCGATCCGCTGCAGCCTGCTGCAGTCTGCTGCGGTCAGTGCGGCAGTCTGAACAACCCTTACAAATAATCGAAGTCCACTTTGATTTAAGCAGAATTTTCGCTGAATATAGTGTACTTACGGTGCCGGGAAGATGCGATAAAATTTGTGGGTGAACAAATAGCTACACCTGTGACGCCGGCCACTTGCGCGAACAAAAAGCCGGCATCACTGGAGTGGCTGTTTGTTCACGCGGATTTTCTCGGCACCGCAAACACACTATATCAAGTGAAGAATCTATTATTATGTATGCTCTAACACTGCTGTCAGCATGTAATAAACTTCAAGGTGACACATTTATATCGAACTATTAAATATATAACAGCCAGTGGCGGAGCGAGGGCGCCCCCCCCCACTCGAGAATGGATCGCGAAATTTTTGAAAATTACTTATATGAGTTATAAAAAAGACATGTTTATTTTTGTAAACAATTAAAACAATCTTTGAAAATTTTTTAAAATTCAAATTAGCCTCGTAAAAAAATTTTTTCGGGGGCGTTGCTGCCGTCAAGCCCCTTTTTTCTTAAGATGCTCCCTAGAAAATTTTCGGAGTGCGTGGCGTTAGACGCGCACCTTTATCTGAAAAAAATTTTGGCCCCACCCCCGGACCAAAATCCTGGGGCCGCCATTGATAACAGTCATGGAAATTAAATAAGAGTTTAATAATAATATTGACCATTGAAACGAATCGATAAAATACTGCCTTCAAATAAGAAAGAATCCGGGAGATTACGCTGATATGAGGTAACGATCCCTTTCGGAGTCACATTAGGTGAATGACTGAACGGCAACTTTGAGAAAACAACACGTGCAACTGCAATAAGCGAATCCATTTTTCCAGCCACTCGCAGTATCAACCTTGAACATGAGCTTGTTGGAGTTGACGTTGCCGCCGGTAATTTATGTTCCAGTAGCATCCGTTAAACATCTTTCAAAGGTCCACCACTGAACAATGTACTCTCACTGGAATGACTCAACACTCCCAATTAAAACATCGAGTTTGAAGTTTCTTTGCCGGCTCCTTGTATTATTATTCGGTCTTTGAAATTCTCAAAATCAGTTTTTGCAATCTTATAGGGCAAAGAACTATACAAATGTCATGCACTAAACAGGTTTTAGCTAAGTAATCTACGCTTTTTTCTACAGTAGATATCTTATCAAGGTGAGAAGCCTATAAAGGTATGCCCGTACGTAGGCTGCTAACGTTCTCAAATGGTGTTATTTCTTATGGTGTGACTTTCTCACAAATTTAGAGGCCTTCAATTCAAGCCAAATTCACAGAATTTTTCTGAGTATGTCAGAGAGTTTTGACTCCTCTAGATTTTATGCTAACTTAATTAGAATTATTTAATACTAGCTGATTTTCCCGGTCCAGCCCGGATCATGTCAGCTGGTCCCTGCTCCAGCCCCTCCCCAACTCCCCCCCCCTTCCCACCTGGCCGTTATGCTGCGCTGCAAGGGTTTCCTTTATCAGAGTAACTCACCCGCTGCAGGCTCGTCTTGGATTACCGCATCCTTCCTACCGCAAAAACCGAATGAACTCTACTGCTATTGTTTACACCAAATCATGGAACTGACTTGTTAGCCACGTTGAGAACTCATTCTTATGCCAAAAATTAATCAATAGAAGGACCCTGCGAATCGCCGCAAAAAGTAGCCATAAACCACCTCCGGGGTCAAATGCATACGTGTGCAAAGTTTTAGCTCAATCGGTTCAATGACTGGCGTTTCTATAACGAACGAACAACTAAACGAACATCCTCACAGACATTGAGTTTTATATATATATATATATATATATATATATATATATATATATATATATATATATATATATATATATATATATATCAGTGGCGTACCCAGGATTTCGGCTCGGGGGGGGGCGCGACAAAAAATTTTTTTTAAAGAAGGTGCGTGGCGTTAGCCACGCACTCCGAAAAAATTTTTGGGATGCTTCTCAAAATTTTTCCGGGTCCCCGACCCCTAAAATCTGGAAAAAGGGGGCGTGGCGTCAGCCACGCCTCCGAAAGAAAATTTTTTATAAGGCTAAAATGAATTTTTAAAAAATTTTAAAAATTATTTTAATTATTTACAAGGAAAAACAAGTCACTTGCACATTTTTATAACCCATGTAAGTAACTTTCAAAAATTTCGCGACCCGTTCTCGGGGGGGGGCGCGCGCCCCCCCCCGCCCCCCCCCCCTCGGTACGCCACTGATATATATATATATATATATATATATATATATATATATATTAGGTTGTCCTAAAAGTTCTTGCGCCGGATTTTCAAAAAATCATAACTTCCTTCCTTCTTAACGATTTTTCTTAAAATTATTTTTGTATGAAAGAGGAAACCTTTTTCTTTATAGAGGTGCTTTTGACATTGATTAGCTTTAGTAAGTTCGAGAGTTAGAAGCAATTGAAGGAAATTAGTCAAGATCGACATTTTTTGAGCTGGATCACGAAAAATTCTGGAAGTATTTTTATTTGATAGAGAAAATTTTGCACATGACAGCGGTGCCGTTTTCATGAATTAATACGAAGTAGATCGAAAGTTAGAAGCAAATAAAGAGAATTTCTTCAGTTCTGCAATTTTTGAGCATGATCAAAAAAGCTTGAAAACGTCACAGAAAAGGCAAAAAACTCATAAACATGGGCTTTGTGACCTTCCCTTTCTAGCTGAGCGAAAATCGTGCCAATCGGGAGCAATTTTCATTTTCGTGATTTATTCGGATTTGTTCGGTCTGCATTTTTCACGAAAATCAAAATTGCTCTCGATTGGCACGATTTTCGCTCAGCTAGAAAGGGAAGGTCACAAAACCCATGTTTATGACTTTTTTCGCCTATTCTGTGACGTTTTCAAGCTTTTTGATCACGCTCAAAAATTGCAGAACCGAAAAAATTCTCTGTACTTGCTTCTAATTCTCGATCTACTTCGTTTTAATTTGTGAAAAAGGCACCACTGAGTGTGCAGAATTTTCTCTATCAAATAAAAATACTTGCAGCATTTTTCGTGACCCAGCTTGAAAAATGCCGATCTTGACTGATTTCATTCAATTGCTTCTAGCTTTGGAACTTTCTGACGCCGCTTCACTACAAAGGCGCCCTTGTAAAGAGAAAGGCTTCCTCTTTCAAATGAATTTAGAATCAAGAAAATCCATCGAGTGACAAGGAAGATATGATTTTTTGAAAATCCGGCGCAAGAACTTTTGGGACAACCTAATATATATATATATATATAGATTCGGGAAAACACACAAATACAAGCAATGTTTTCCTAACGGATAATTACCAAATGACGTAAAATCACACCATAACATCAATCTCCATTATTTCCAGACATGGGTAGTTTACTCTACATCTTACCTTGCCTCTTAGTCAGCGTTGTTGCTGCTGATCCGTAAGTTTTTAAGCATTAAAACTCTTCGAATTCGCACAAATTTTCCTCCAGATACGATGAGCCCCACACACTATGGAATCGCCAAACTATGGTGCATTTGTTCGAATGGAAATGGAGAGATATAGCAGCAGAATGCGAAAATTTCCTACAGCATTACGGTTACGGTGCTGTGCAGGTAGAGAGTTTTGGATGATAACATAGTAAAAAAGGCAAGGGTTGACGTTTTCTAGGTCTCCCCACCTAACGAGCATATTGTGTTAACTCAGAACAATGATATGCCATGGTGGATTAGGTATGCAGTCTCGCAGGAAGTTTAAAAATTAGAAAAAAAACTGAATACTTTATAGATATCAGCCAGTTAGTTACAAGCTTATTTCTCGTAGTGGAAACGAGGACGAGTTCAAAGATATGGTCAACAGATGCAATGCTGTTGGTGTAAGGTCAGCAGAATTGATAGGAAAAGAACATTTTTTGCATTTTTTTCACAGTAAATTAATACAGAATCGTTGTCGACGTAGTCATGAACCATATGACTGGTGTCGGCCAAAAATCTGGAGCTTGGGGAAGGGGTGGCAGCGGAGGATCGACCTTCGATGGAACCGATGGAGTGGAAAGCTTCCCTGCTGTAAGCAATTCTCTTCATCAATGATGATAACGCTGATAATTTCCATTTCTAGGTTCCTTACTCGAAATCTGACTTCAACGACTACAGATGCCATGGAGATATTGGAGGAATGGATTACGGTAGCAACGCAAACAACGTTAGCCCAGACTGAGAAAACATGATTCAATCAGTCATTGATGTGACATTGCAGGTCAGAAACTGCCGACTTGTCGGACTGCTTGATCTGGATCAGGGCAACCCATACGTACGAGGAAAACTCATTGGATATCTAAACCATCTCATTGACCTGGGAGTAGCAGGATTCAGGTTCGATACTTGTTTTCTGGAGATGAACGCTTAGCTAAATTTGTCTTAAAGGTTCGATGCTTCAAAGCACATGTGGCCTGGCGATCTAGAGGCAATCCAAGCGGGAACGAAAAATCTGAGAGAAGACGTAAGTGAAAAAAAAGTTTACAGGGTTGCATAATTTGGGAATGGGGAACTTTTCTCGAGATATGCTATAGTCAGAGTGGGCAAATTATCCAGCAAGTACAGAAGATGGTTACGAAAAAAACTTCAGAGCAGAACGTACATTAGGTTGAACTAAGAATGCGTAAGTTGTTACCTTTCACGACCGCATAATTTTGTTTGTAGCTGGATAAGTTAAAAGGACGTTTACCTTTTAATGCCATCTTGGTAACGAATTTGCGAAAAAAAGCAAAGAAAAATGATAGTCGATTCGTATAACTTCAAGCAAGATGGTCAAGAATCCAAATACAAAAAGTCCGAAATCGTCATTGACACAAGTTGATCCCATCCATTTGAAAGGTGCTGCCAAGCCCAATGGAAAGTTTCAGTTTTCGAGAAGATAGCACACATTTGCAAATTAAATTTTTTTGCATCTTCAAAAATCATAACACGGGGACGCTCTCCCAGCAAAACTTTGCTCGACGAGAAAGAGAAGATTATAAAAGTCATTTCAGTAACAGTTTCGTTTTTTTTTTTGTTGTCGTATTTTTGACAGGCTCATTTGAAAGCAGTGAAACTCGGCTTTGATTTTTATCCCCACATTAGGTGCTTAAAGAGTTACCAAGTGCTATCTCAAAGCACGTGAGTTCTTTTTCTTTGTTTGATGAAGTGATTGCCAAGCAAAACCGTGCAGATAAAAAAATGAAATGGTGCGAAAACAATGAAACCCTACGTATCTTCATTGACTCAACCTTAGATTTTTACGAATCCAACAATTGCTTACGAATCAAAACTTCAGATCTTCGGACCCAACCAGCGACCATTCGCCGTCCATGAAGTGATTGACAGAGGAGGTGAAGCAGTCAAATGCGCGGAGTACTGCCACATCGGAAGGTTCATTTTATAAAAAAACTTTTGTTTTGATGCACTTGAGTACGCTCTAACTGGAAGCACTGCAGATACACTAACTTCAACTTCGGCTTCCCGATATCCGAAGCAGCACGAGGGAACGCGAACTGGAAGTAAGCTATGCGGATCTAGATGATGCATTTAACAGTACTCCTTTTTTAGAGACATGGGATACATGGGACCTGGATGGGGATATGGTAACCATGCGGACAATGACGTGCTGAACTTCATCGATAATCATGACAACCAGAGAGACGGTTATCCGGTAAGTTATGCACTCCTTTTGGGGTCAAAAGCAGCTTAATGTTTTCACGGGACATCTGGCTTCTCCTTAGGCTACACACAAAGAAGGAGATGCATACCGGCTAGCCGTATCATTCATGTTGGCATGGACTTATGGTTATCCACGAGTGATGAGTAGCTTCTACTTCAAAGAGAAAGATCAGGGACCACCAAACCATGGAGCTGGAAGCGGTTTCGCGGTATGCTTGGTTGAAAGGAGATCTGCATCCAGAGTTGCAATTAAATACTGTTTAGACCAAATCTCCACTGTTCAACCCGGATGATACCTGCACTGGAGAATCGGGTTGGGTATGCGAGCACAGATGGCCAACTATTAGGTAAGAATAGTTTGCTTTGTCTATAAGGAAGCAATGCATGAATCTTGTGAGTTAAGGGAGATGGCCAGATTCCGAAGCACATGCGCAGGTGCACCAGCTGTTGAAAAAGTTATTGAAAACAATCACGTCGCTTTCGCAAGACAAGGAAAAGGATTCTTCGCGGTTAACGGACCTGGATGGGATTGGACCAGGTAGCCTGAAATTTCATATCACACATCACTTATGAGTTTACGTACTTTCTATAGGACCTTCCAAACAACACTGCCTGCAGGCCAATATTGTGATGTCTACAATGGCCGTTTGGAGAATGGAAGATGCTCTGGAGCGACTATTACTGTAGGAGACAATGGTACGCAAAAGACTAAGCGCTTCAAATGCAAAACTTTAAAGAAGAACTTTATTAATTCTTCTTGACATTCAGGAATGGCGCAAATAACCATTGGCAGCAAAGCGGCAGTCGCTTTCTCACTTGCCTCGAAAGTCGGTGAGTTTCTATCTTCCTATAGCTAAATAACTGTTTCTATATCTGTACTTCAAGGCTCCACTCCACCAGGACCACAACCAACACAGAAGCCAAAGCCCGAGCCCACTGGTCTCACAAAGACTGTGATTTTCCTTAAGCGCGACACTATGCTCGGAGAGAACATCTTCATCCGCGGTGGAAACAGCCATGGTTACGGAGGAGGTATTTTGCGGAGTTATGAATCCGTATTTGTTCTCTCATTAAGCAGAACTTTTTTAGCATGCGCACCAGGACCATATCAGCAACCAAGTGACAAATGCGCTATCCCGATCTATCACAAGACTACGGTACCATACAACTACTTCGAATACAAGTCATGGAGTCAGGGCGATTACTACCTCGACTTTGAAGGACCAGAGCAAGGACAAGGTAATCGTTGAGAAAAAGTACTGACTTGGACTTATGGCACACATTTAAGGAACATTCCAAGGACAAACTGCATTCGGCACACCTCTGGCGTACTCTACCAACGATCCAAAAGCTCAAGAGTATCAAGCATACAACAAGTACGGTAAGGGCTACTGGATGGTGGAGGTGAACATGGATTGCTCAAAGACTGAAAATGGATGGTTCGAAGTCAAGGTCAAACATTGAAGCACACTTAATTGCCATGTGAACATTATTCTTTTTTAGGGCTACTTGAATACCGCTGGATGGGAAGGCGATATCAGACAGGGCAGCTGCACTGGTGGCGTCGGAGGCACTGCTCCATTCAAGAGCATCAACCATATCGCCAAATGTGGAGCGGTAAATGTATTCGAATGGGGTACTGGCAAATGCATCATCGACGCTATCTAATTTCTTACAATAAACAGTCAAATTGAACTCATTTTTTCTATAAAGTTCTTATGTTACCAATAGTTTTTACGGCAGCTCATTCATTGATAGCACTAAGCATAAAAGGCAGCACTTTGTTATTATGTATAAAATCGCTAAGTTGTTTGTTACGGTAAGCGATTCAGGGAATGTAGAAAAGAAACGAATAACATTCAGATAAAAAGGCACTATCAGTTTTACAAGTCACATTTATAAGTAGCGGTCCTAGTACCCTGATTGAAAATTATGGGCAAGGGAACCAAATCCGTCATTTTGGGCTCCTCGGCGGACAACTGGTCTTGCAGTGCCGCTGCATGTCGTTCAAAAAATTGGCTCATGGCTGCCGTAAAGTCTCTCCTATTACCCGCAGACGAAAAAAATTTTTCCGAGTAAAGGTGCGTGGCGTTAGCCACGCAATCTCAAATAATTTCTGGGTTACTTCCCAAAATTTTGTGGGACTATGACCTCAAAATATTGAAAAAGGGCGTGACGCCAGCTACGCCCGAAAAAAACCTGTTACATGGCTAACTTTTAGATCTGAACGCAGTGGGACCTTCAATGATTGAAATTGAAAAAATTCGTAGATGCGGTTAAACTTCGAATGAATGCTGAGCTGTATATTTTGCGCTGTTTAGCTTACGTTCAAATTTCCACTCAACGTTGCCGTCAGGTCGCACATCGGCTTCGCGCATCCACAGCGTAGCCTTTCAGATGTTCGGCACTCAGTTTGACAGCGGCTATGGAGCCACCGTTTGACGAGAGTTCTTTCAAGATTTCTGGCGTACTCATTACTGTGCAAGATAAGGGCATGTTCTTTTTGTAGCTGATTTTTGTCAGGCATTGGTAAGGCGTCTTGAAACATTGACCAATCTATCTCTTCGGCGGGAGTTGTTGGTGCTAGCTTATGTTTGCCGGCTACTGTGTCTGAAACCTTATGTTTGTTGTTTGCTGCCTTGAAGGCCCTCAAATTCTTGGCTGTTTTACGATTTTTGTGTGTTGTGCTGTCCACAGGTTCTGTTCGTTGCCCGCTTCTGCCTTTTATTGCGTACATCACCTTTTGTTGAATGTTATTATATCAACAGCGTCCGTTCACTACCTGGAGAAAATAGAGTAGAAACATAAGCAACAGCCGCATGCCTCGCCTGAATGGAAAGCGGTGAACAGTAAACTGTGTGTGGAGATAGTTCGTGCATTTCAAATCTACTTTGCATATGACATCATCAGGTGCTCATATGGATCGCTCCTACATAAACCACACGATTGACAGAAAACGAGCATAAGCGCCCCTTTCGAGAAAGCTCTTTCCGTTTATAGGTGAGTAGCAAAGCTTTACATACAATACCGCTCACAGAATGTGCAAAATTTCCGTGAATGTCGCAGAATTCCAGGAATTCCGCGAAGTTTCGCGAAATTTCGGGAATTTCGCGACATTCCTGGAATTCCGCGAAATTTCGGAAATTTCGCGAAATTCATGTGAATCACGCAAATTACGCAGGGCCATAACTTCTTTCCGAATGAGTATATTCGAAATCCGAAAACAGCATTGTATTCAGCTCGTCAAGGCGAATCTTTTGTTGTACAGGTTGTGTCCAATACCTTGTTTTCGATAATCTTGAATTTGCACGCGGACGCCTCTTCGCATGGTGGTAACGCAACGAGCATCACACATAGGAGACTGCCATGGACACCGTTCGATAGTACTCTTTCAGTAGATTATCGTGCGTTAAACAGCAGCCGAAGACTCTCTTTCGAAAGAGATAGAAGAGCTGATAAACTCTGGAAAAAACAAGCTGTTCGAAGTTCTACTAGCCGTAACTTCCTTCAGAATGAACATCTTCAGAATCCGAAAGCAGCATTGTATTCAGCTCTTCAAGGCGAATCTTTCGGTATACAGCTTGTCCTTGAAACTCCGTTTCCAATTTTTTCAAAATTTTCTGCGCTCGTATATTCACAAGGTCGCAACGCAGCGCACATCAAATATAAAAAACTCCAATAAGCACTGCTGGATTGTGCTGCCTTCGCCGATTATCGAGCGTTAAAAAGCAACCGGAGAATCTTCTTGTAAAAAGATAGAAGAGCTGGTGAATTCTGGAAAAATCGCGTTGTCTCAAATTTTGCCCACCGTGACCCTAAAATGAGAAGCTCTACTGCTAAGCAAATGTGATTTTCGTAATCAGCAGGTCAGATAACCTCTATGAGCAAGTTTTCAAGGAAATTCGGGTGATTTGATTTTTTCTCGTTCTACGCCCTGAAGCCCGATGGGTTTTGGTCAAAATGTCGATGATCTCGGATTGTAAGGAAACTCCGCTCAGAGAGGTTTTTTCGAACACGCTGTTTACGATAATCGTCTTTTGCGCGGAGTACAGAGTTTTCTAGCAGAGATATGGTGAGGGAACTTTAGCTAAGCCACGCAAGTTCGTAGATTCGCCTGCATTTTTCGAGCACCTCTTAGAAATTCTGCTTGCTTGCCTTTGCAGGTTAAATTCACTAAGAAGCGTGCTATTTAACGGTGCATGCATCCGGCTTCATTCTGTAGAGTCGCCGAGTTACGGGCCTACGAAATCACGTGTGATGCTCGTTGCGTTACCACCATGCGAAGAGGCGTCCGCGTGCAAATTCAAGATTATCGAAAACAAGGTATTGGACACAACCTGTACAACAAAAGATTCGCCTTGATGAGCTGAATACAATGCTGTTTTCGAATTTCGAATATACTCATTCGGAAAGAAGTTATGGCCCTGCGTAATTTGCGTGATTCACATGAATTTCGCGAAATTTCCGGAATTTCGCGGAATTCCAGGAATGTCGCGAAATTCCCGAAATTTCGCGAAACTTCGCGAAATTCCTGGAATTCTGCGACATTCACGGAAATTTTGCACATTCTGTGAGCGGTATTGTAGTATAATGCAGTCAGTGCGCTGTAAAAGAGTGACTTCGAATGTTTTCTTATCTTGAAAAGAGAATCGACTGTCTCTACGTTATAGTATGTAAGTTACAAGGAAAGGTCTTTGACTCGAAGTGGACTTTCCCAATGAGATGCGTATAATTCGAAGGGTCTTTCAGCGGTGATATCAAAACAATCTCCTCTATCTGTCTACTAAAAAGTCACAGACATTGTTCTGCTTTAAAATTACATAGGCGGGAACGTCTATCGTTCAAACATCTTACACTAAGCTTTTCCGCCTCCTTCGCGGAGCTGTAGCCAAACTTCCAGTACGGAAGTGGACATGCCCTCACTTAGAATTTCGATATTTCAATTCCTGAACTTTTGAAAGAATTCTCTGCAATATATTCGGTCATTCCGAAAGTAATTTCCTTTTTTCAAACGGACGCCACATGTGACGGAATAAAGATTTCTAAGAGATCTTGGTAAAATTCGTGCAGAATTTCATCCTCTTTCTAAAGTTTATAGAATCACTGCAGCACGTCAATGAGCTTTTGGAAAATTATGAAAGTCTCCAATCCATGCTTTTTGAGATGCTCGAGTTTCACAATTTTTCTAAATGTGTACATCAATCCTCCGAAGGAGTCTAAGAAACGATTCGACAGAGCAAAACCTACAGGATAAATAATAAAACACTTTTTCCTCCTTCAAATAACTTCTCAGAATTATTTAAGAGGATTTTGATTGATGTTACCAATTTCCATTCTTGATAAACTCAAACATCGTAGAACATCAAACGGTAAGCAGCTCAAGTGTCATTCGATGCAGCTTGTTCTCCTCTTTCAAATGTATGCTTTTTGTTTCCCCTTCGTGGAGTTTTCGCGTACAAAATCATCGTAATTCATATTTTCGAACGCGTTCTGGGCTGTACTGAATTGCACTTGATTGCTTTTCGGGGCTGTGAACAGATTGCTGCCACGCGGGACTTACACCAACGCACGCACAGTAAGCAACCTCAAACTTGGGTAATTAAACTTTATTAACAATAACTAAGCAACAACTAAATCAACGAAACTTAACACAAATAAATAACTAATCCTAAGGGAACTAGAGAACCTAACTAGCTCAAAGGGATGTGATGTTCTCAAGCAAAAGAAACTGTGATGAAAGAATCGAACCCAATGGTGACTATAAAAAATGCGAGCAAGGAAATCAAATACTGTGACAATCTAAGTAAAGCAGACAAATGACAAATAATATGACTGTGATAATCAAGAAAATGAGTAAAATGCTATAATACGTGGTTTAGGGACTGTGACTGTGTGATATATTCAAAAAGCTGTGATCTGAGGAAAGGAGGAAGTATTAAACCAATAAGAGACACAACGGGAATAAGGCGAGTGGAAAAAGTAAAATAATAAAGCAAGAAAAGGAAAGAAGAAAAGTGGAACAATAAAACAAGAAAAGAAATGTCTCATACACGCGCATTATGGTCGCTGTGTCTCATTATCGACTTATATATCGAAACATCGGAATTATAAACAAAAGTCGTCGGGTCTGTGAAACTACTGATAAGCTGCAAATAATGTTGTTGTTCCTTCGATCGCATTCCGCAGCTCAAAGAACGATACGAACGTTAAGTTCGTATACTCCGGCCCCGCATTAAGAATGCGAGGAACC